GGCAGCACAGGGTGGAGGGGGATGGATGGGGGTGGGGGGGCAGGGAAGGAAGAAAGACTTTTCTCTGTGCACGTTTGCCCACTGCTTGGTCTTTGAACTGTGCAAATGTTTTACCTTTCAAAGTCTGAATTTTAAAACAGCTTGCCCAAGATCATACCATGTTTCCCACAGCCACGAGATGCTTTCCCCTGCTGGGATGTGAAACGCTTTGGGACAGTGTGCAAGGTGACTGTGACAATTCTCAAACACAGCACTGAATCATATGGTGGGAAACACATTCCCTTTTCATTTCATTTTAGTCTTCTGAACCCATTGAAGAGAATGTCTCTGTGGGATGGATGCTAGTGGTCTTCAATACCTCTCTAAGTCCTGGTACGCAAAGAAAGCAGGCATCTGGCTTAGAGCCGTGGCCAGTGTCAGTGGTTAGCTAAAATGAAATCACGTTATTTCCTCGACACTGAATTTACTTGCGCTAATGTCTACTATAATGGCAAGTAATGTTGGCTTTTCATTTATAATAATAATGTGAGGCTTCCTTTCTAAAGTACTAGATTTAAGTAAAATGTGAGTTGCTCTAACATATATGTGTGTGTAATATATAGATGTAATATATAGATATAAACCCTAATGCCATTGCTTTGTGAATATGGTATTATTACCAAATACTGACCTTGGTCCAGAAATTGCTAAGTGCTTCCCACGTATGAATATATGCATCCTCCTGCCCCTGTGCGGGGCAGATGAGGACACAGCAGGATGCGGACTGTGCCCAAGGTCCCCGGTTAACTGGAGGTGGATTTGGGATTCGGCCTCCTGCAACGGCCCATCCCGCCTCCCCACCACATACCAGCAGGACTGAAGCCGGTGGCCCAGTGAACGCAAACCAGCCCTCCTGCCTCTGCCAGCACTCAGCCTCCCCAGCTCGTGGGGCCCTTGACCTAACAGCTCCGACTTCATTCTGGATAGCTTCCTCCTCTCCCTCCCAAGCTCTGGGTCACTACAGGCAAATGGTTTCAGCACACCCCCGCCCCCCCCAGACTGGAGGGTCAGAAACACACATACACACAGCCCTCTGCAATCACACTGAAGTGCTCAGTCTCCTAGAGCTTTATCTCACTGCTCTTTGGGGCCCTGGGAAGCAGCACAAGGAGGACTGAGCTTTGCATCTCCCACTGGCATGCCCTGCTGGACAGGCTGCAGGCCTGTCTCTGTCTAGCTGTGGCAGCAAAGCCCTCTGCCACCCCCCCCTGCCCCGCCCCACCCCTGCAAGGCCCTTCAAGGACCCTGTTGGAAGTAACTGGATTTCTCCCCCGTCAGTTTGCAATGAAAACATCATATACTCAGGAACGCAGAGAACAGGGCTTACAGCCCATTCAGTGACTGCACCCAGAGCTGGGAAGCTATGGAGACCACCTAGCTGGAAAGATGCTGCAAGCCTCCTCACACCCACCCTGTGCCCTCTGCCCTCCCAGAGAAGGTCTGAAGGTGACTGGGGGTCCCAGCAGGTAGTGAGGCCTGCTCCTTCCCCATCTCCCTCTTTTCTGAGTGAACTTGGAGGACTCCCCTCTCATCTGTCAGCCACCCTCATGCAAGGTAGGCCCTGGGCCATATCCCAGCACTTCTGGGGATGGACATGGGGCCTGGTCATCTGCCTCTGTAAAAAGTCTGCAAGTGATTCTGACAAACAGCCAGAGGCAAAAGAGTGATTGAGAACGAGGGCCTGGGCCTCCGTTTGAACCCTAGCTCCAACCCCAGCCCCCTCAGCATCCTGGAGCAAGTTATAAATGCTCCACAGTGTGCTCAGCTGTGAAATAAAGATGACAGTGACAGTACCTGTTATAAAGTTCTGGTGACGATTAAATGACATCACCTGCTTAGCACAGTGTCAGGCACACGACACTCTCAGCAAATCCATCCGTCCTGACACTGGAGACTTGCAATGAGCCCCTGGGCCTCCAGAAGCAGAGAAGTGGCTGCATTTCTTCTCTATCAGCTGAGGAGGGGCAGCCCTGGCCTGAAAAGCACAGCCTGGAGTCCCATGGCATTGCGGCCACCCTGGGTGAAGCCCGCAGCACAGGGGCTGCATGGAGTTCAAGGTGCAGCGTCTGTGGAGCAGCGGGGTCTGGCACAGTCCCTCCTTTCCACCCCCTGTCTATCTCTTTCACCCACCATGCCAAGCGTGATCCACGAGGCCCCACAAGGCAGGAGGGATGCAGATCATTACACCTTCTCAGAGGTGAGGAACAGGCTTCAGCGGCCAAGGTCATGGACCCACAAAGCAGAGCAGGGCCTGCAAACAGGCTTCCTCTGGGGCCCAGCTGGCCAGGCCGGGGTAAAAGCCAGGCCAGGAGTCCGAGGGCAGAGGCTCTGCCCACCACACCAAGGCTGCTTCCTCAACTCACAGGGCAAGAGTCCTCAGTGAGGGAGTCCAAGTCCAGGCCCAGAGAGTGGGGAGCCCAGGGGAGCCTCCTTGGGGAACTGGCCAAACTGGAGGTGCTGTTTTGCCTGATCTCCGGCTTCATGTCCCCTTTGGGAAGATGGAAATAATGACCCCCACCTGCAGACTATCTGGAGGGTGGGGAGAGGTAGAGCTCACAGAGCAAAGGGCTTAGAACATATGGAAGAAATGGCCCAGGAGGCTGGCAGCCCAGGAGATGGGGCTGAGGCGGTCAAACCGGCAGCTCTGCTCACCAGGTAGCCCCAGCCGGGGAGTCAAGATAACTCCTCAGAGGGGAGGAGCTCCCCTTTCCAGCCCCAGAGGGTGGCAGAGGCCTGATGGGATCCAGCTGTGGCTCACACGGGGGGCGGGGAGCACAGTATCGCCCCCAGAGGCAGCCAGGCTGCAAATCCAACCTGACACTGAGACACAGAGCTTTGAGGATTAGCCCTGGAGATTAGCAGAAACCTCCCCAGAAATCTGCCCTCGAGGTGGCCCAGTCTGGGGGGTCCTGTCACACAGTGGGTGGGATGGGGCAGAGGGCGGGCAGAGGAGGAGAGCCCACCCTCTTCAAGGACTAAGACACCTGCTAGACCAAGGTGACCCACGGCCTCACTCAGTGGCCCACCAAGACCTGTATTTGGCTGCCGGAGTGAAGAGCCTCTCTGCCTGCTCAGAGCACGAGCATGCCAGAATTTCTGTGCATGCGGGCAGGAGCCTCTCTGAAGGGCATCCAAACCGGAGGCAGAGAGACTTACAGCCCACACAGGCTGCACAACCCCAGGGGGCGCCTTCCCTCTGAGACACTGCCTCTGCCTGCAGGGTCGGAAGGCACGGCACACTTTCAGACCCTGGACTTCGAAGAGCGGGGCAGAGCAGAGGTTAGCCCATTCTGCCACGGCCCAAGGGGTACCAGGAGGGTGGGTGGAGGAAAGAAGGGTCAAGAGGTGGCCCCTAGGCCCCCAGCCCAATCCCACCAGAGCAGCTCTGCTGGGTCCTGTCCTGTGTGTTGGAGCTCAGTCAACACACGGGACAAGACACAGAACTCCTGCTTCTTTCCACAGCGCACTGGGAGCCCCCAGCCCTTTCCCTCAGGCTGCCAAGCCTCTGGGAGGTGCCTCTACCCCAGTGCAGTCACACTGCCCCGGGCTCCTCCTGCTCCCCCGAGTCAGCCTGGAAGTGAGGCACCAGCCCCCTCCTCTCCCAGGGCTTGGACATTGGGAATGGAAACTGAATTCTAGAACAAGACACAATTCTCAGCCCTGAACTTATGGACTGAGATGCATATCCCTTCTAAGTATTTATAGATTGGGAGCCCACTTAAGATTTACTATTTCATCAGAGAGTCCCATAGGAAAAAGAAAAGGAAAACCCAACCAGAGACACAAGCTGAGCAGGGAGTTTCAGGGGAGGGAGCTGTGGGTGGGAACATCCCTTCCCCAGTGGCTGCTGGGCAAGGACAGATATGCCAGGGCAGGAGATGCAGGGGGAACAGCCAGCCATGGCGCGGCTGGGCACCACCTCCCTTGTCCAGGCCCTGGAGGAGCCACCGGGAGTCAGACCCTGTCTGTGGTCCCCCAGGCCAAGGGCCCAGTGCCCTCCCCTCTATAAAGCCATCATGAAGGGGACATGTTCCAACAGCTGCTGGGAAATAAAGACACAGAAAACACTGGAAAAGGAGTCCTGTCCCAACACAAGTCTCCCCAGGGATGACTGTGATGAAGGCCACCAGCTAGCTCCCTGAGGGCAGCAGCGGGATCCCGGCTGGGGTGGGCGGTGCCTCTGGGCACCACAGCAGGTTGTCAAAGGAGGGACAGCACCCACCTCGGTCTCTCTCCCCCACCTCCCCTCACACATCCCCTCACACAGTGCTCTTCCAGCACTGGCCTTGGAGAATCCCCCCAGATCCTGCCTTTCTCCCCCAAACTGCCCAACCCCAAAGGACCCTAAGAAGATGGTGAGCGATCTAGTCCCTGAGCTGGGGAAGTCCTCAAGTTCACCCAGCTTCCCTCTGACCCTTAACCTTCAACCACCCGATGCCATCCCCATACCCTGACAGGACCCCTGCGCAGCTCAGGGCTCACCAGCCACAACTCACAGCCTTTTCTCATAAAAAGCAGGAGCTCTCACCCCACATGCCCTGGGGGTCAGCACCAAAACTCCCACTTTCTGTGGAGAAGGTGCCACGGTCAGAGGCTGTGAGGGCCTTGGGAGGTTAAGAGGCCTCTCTGGTCAGGGTCCTGACCCCACAGCCCATCAGCCATTCTGGCCAGCATTTCAGAGTGAGCCTAGAAGTTACCTAAGCACCAAACAAGAGGCCCAGCTCAGGCTGTACCTGGGCCCCTCTCAGGTCCCAGGGCCTGTGGGAAAAAGTTATGAACTACACTTCAAGGTCAAATACCCACTTCTACCTTGTTCCCCAATCCCGACCACTCCCAACCAACTTCACCATGTCTTCCAGATCCACGTACAGCATCCCCATTATTGATTAATGTTTCTACATGGACTGATTTTTACTGGCATGTATTTATTGAAAACATCACCACAATTAATAGGATGCCAGTACCACCTGTCATAAATAAAAGGTAGCCATTAAAAATATACCATTAAAACAGGGCTATAAAAGTCTGGAAACTTCCCACCTGCCCTATGCCCAAGGCCTGTTCCCTAGTAACAGGGGAAGTCAGCGTGTGTGCCGGCGGCACGAGGCATACTGGCACTGGGCTGAGACTGTCTTCTTGGCAAAAAAGGATTGGAAGAGAAGGGGAAGGGGATCCCTTTCTTGCTGTGAGTTTGTGCTTAACGCAGGCTCAATACCACTTAAAAACATCTCAAGGGATTCACCTGATACTTTGGAATGCTGGACTAGGAGTTCCCTCTGCATCATGCTTACCATAATGTGGAAACATTCTCTAAGCAGACCTTCAAGGCACCACTGGATCCCCTCCCAATGCACCTGCTCTCACACCAAAGCCGAGCAACCCCCTCTCCCCTGCGCCTGCCCCCCAGCAGAGGTCACCGCTGACTCAGGTGGGACACCAGGTAGACGAGGCCCACCAGCAGGAGTCCACGCACGCCGAGCATCATGAGCAGGAAGAGGAGCAGGATGGAGGTCACGGGCTCCACCGCGTGGTTGCCAAGATGCCACTGGGGGAATCCCATGTTCACCAGCTGCCGGTTGAGGTCGTTGAAGGGGGACTGAGCAGCACCCAGCCTGGCGCCCCCCTGCTGCTGCCGGAGGCCAGGACCCCCCAGTGAGGCACCGTGGCCCCTATTGAGAAGGCTCTGGAAGGTAAAGACAGAGAAAAACAAATGAATCCCAAGAAAGCTTCTCTGGGAGTAAGGTACCCAGCGGAGGCAAACCCTGTGAGCTGTGCCCTCCCTCCCCTACAGTCACCAGGGCCACGCCCCCCTTTTTCAGCAATCCCTACAAGCCAGCCACAGGAATCCCAGCTACTGGGTCACAAGCTCTCAGAGCACAGAAACTGCCAGTCTGCACTCCCCCAGTGGTGCCAGGAAGAAGGTGCCCAGGGGTCAAGGCAGGTTAGACTACTGGGCACAGCATTCAGGCAGGCATTTTTAACATTCCTCACTCCCTCCTTTGAAATCAGCATGGTGTGGCCAAGGGCTCATCTCCTCCGATTACCCTTCAGCTTCTCTCTCTTCCAATGAGCCTTAAAAGAAAGATGCTGCCTCCAGTGGAGTCTGCTAACCAGGTTAAAGGAGAGAGAGCTCTTGGATTTTGAAGTCTGGGAAGGCTGCCAGAAGGAGGAAGAGCTGGGGAGGAAGGGGCTGGGCAAATCTACCACAGGTTTTCCCTGAGTGTTGGCACCCCATCCTCCCCAGCCCAGCTCTCTGCAAAGAGAACTTCAGGTTAGAGGTTAATGACCAGCAAGGGAGCTTCTGGGAGCTAAGAAGTATCTAGGACAGAGGGCAGAGGACAGTTGCACCCCTTCCACGGGGGCTGGGGGCCTACCTGTCTAGAGGTGCTGCTGCGTGGCCCGGTGTTGGTCCTCACGCGGGGGTCATCGTCCTGCACGATTTCCCCATTGGCCAAGATCCGCACCATCCTCCCTGGAGCACTGGGTCCCTGCTAGGCCTCCGCTTTCCTCAGACCTCAAAAAGGCTGGAAAAAAATTTTACCACAGATAAAGAGATGCTTGCTTTCGATGGAGAAACTGCAATTCTAGGTGCTCACATGGGTGATCCAGACTAAGCAGGCACTGTGTCTGATTAATAAAAAGGAGAGGAAAAAAATGCAAGTTGTTTGCCAAACAAAAACCTTTCAGACATAGAGTACACTGGGGAGACTATCAAAAAAATCCTTGGAGAAGGAGACTTTATTATAGACCGCCACCAGCAGCAGTGGAGCCGAGAGCCCGTGCTGCACCCCTGCACTGTGGAAAGTCCGAGAAGGCTCATCTCACACCTCCCAATGCCCCTCTGAGGCAGGCCCAGCTGGAGGTGTACCTAGCTTGCCCAGGACCATTCATCTATGGGCAGCAGAGGAAGAAAGTGAAGGCCTTCTCTAGGTACTGATTAACAAGTCCAGGGCCCCAGGAACCCCAGGTTCTCAATTTCCTTCTGTTAAAAAAAACTGGCCCCTTGTGCTGTTCCCTAGGGAGTAAATGCCAAGGGCCTGAGCTTTCCTCCCCCTCCTAGGAGATCCAGGCTCGTTTTCAGAGCGACTTAGGATCCACCGCCTGGCAGCAGAGGGCACTGGTGGTCCTGCAGCCCCAGAGTTGGGGGAGGAACAGACCTGCAGAGGGCACACCCCTCACCTGTCCCACACCTCGGGTAACACCAGTGCCTCCTTTGCTAACAGGAGGGCAGGGCCCGCCTCCCTAAAATACGGGATGGGGAATGCTTCTGTGGCTCTGGGAGGGCCCGCTCCGCAGACCGCAAGGGTGCCTGTGGACTGCGGCTGGGGGTGGGGCCCTTCCATGCCTCTCCCCGAGTCTATGTAAAGGCCATTTTTTTTCCTCAGTAGACGAGCCACAGTTTTCATTTAAATTTTCAAAAGCCTTTGTGACACACGCCAAAAAAAGGTTAAGAGCCCCCATCTCTTGCTCTTGGCCTGGAGCCTGAGACAGGCGGATCCCCTTTTTGAAGCCTGCTGTCCCCTGCGGAAGGCCAAGTGGGTCCTCCGCAGTCCCTCTGTGCGTTGTCATCCCGACCCCCTGCGTGGACTGTGGGCGCCGCCGGTCCTCGGTACACCTGACCCTACCGATGGGAGAAGTGGGGTGCTGCCGCGGCAGGAGGAACCCGGCCCACGCCGCTGAGCCCAGCTCTGAAACCAGGTCCGCGGTAGGGGAAGAATGCGCCCCGCTTCCCTGCGCCCCGGGCCCCGACACCCACCTGCAGGCGCGTCCACTCGCGGTGGCTTCCAGGCCGATTCCTCCCACCTGACCTCACAGGAAGAGCAAGAGCAGCGATGCGGCGTAGCAGCGCTGTCTGCAGGCCTCCAGGGGAACTGCAGCTGCCAGGCCCAGAGGATGAGACGCACGCAGGGCGGGAGGAGGGAGAAATTGGGGGTGGGTGGGAAGGACTGGTCCAGAGGGGAGGGAAGGAGCAGGAAGAAAAGAGTATGGAGAGGAGAGAAACAAATCTGGAGGAAGAAGGAAAGGAAGGAGGAGGGAGAAGAAGCGGAAAAGGAAGTGAGCCCACAGAGGAAAAATCCAGGGGATGGAACTCCCCTAGCCTGGGAGGAAATGTGGGCACAGGCTATGGCTGTCTATGTAAGTTTGCTGAGCCGGCTCCTTGGATGCCCCTTGAGTAGAACCTAGCCCTGTCCTCAAGAATTCCCAACTCCGGTGAGGAAGATAAGGTTTGAAACATAGAGCAGTGCAACTAACTGCAGTGTGAGGGAAGGCTGGCTTCCCGAAAGAGGCGGCTTTTGCACTGGCGCCAGAGGGCTAGGTAGGAGTCTGCTTGCAAGGCGAAGAGGGACACTCCTGGCAAAGGGAGCCACCTGGTGAAGGAGGGAATAATCAGCCACTGCCTCCTTCCTGATGTTTTCAACCCCAACCCCACCCCTTTCAAAAGTGGCTCCCTACGGGCTGGGCCTGGTCACCCGTGGGAGAACACAAGCTCTGCAGTCCCACAACATGGGTTCAGGTTCTGGACTCCAGCAAACTGCTGAGCTGCTCAGCGTGGTCATCTGCAAAGTGGATATATTCACAGCACTTGCCTTACGGGATTGTGTGAGGGTTAGTGCGAGAGTCCCCAGCACATAGCAAGTGTTGATAAACATTAGTGTTTTTAGTTTTTTATTTTTCAATTACAGTTGATATTCAATATTACATTAGTTTCAGATGTACAACTTAGTGGTTAGACATTTGTATAACTTACAAAGTAATCCCTCATTACATCTAGTACCACCTGACACCTACATACTTATTACACTATTATTGACTGTATTCCCTATGCTGTAGTTTACATCTCTATGACTATTCTGTAACCACCAATCTGCAGTTCTTAATCCCTTCACCTTTTTCACCCAGCCTCCCAACCCCTTCCTACTTGGCCACCATCAGTTTGCCCTCCGGATCAGTTTGTTTCTCTTTTGTTTATTTTGTTTTTTAGATTCCATATGTGGAATCCTGTGGTATTTGTCTTTCTCCGTCTGACTTATTTCACTTAGCATAATACCCTGTAGGTCCCTCCATGTTGTCACAAATGATAAAATTTCATTTTTATGGCCAAGTAATATTCCATTGTAGATGTATACTGCCTCTTCCACGGTCATCAGTCAGTGGGTGTTTCTGGGAGCAAGCAGACATTTAGTGAGCGGATGTGAGGACCCAGACGCCTACTGGCTTCTGGGCGGGGGTGGGGGAATGGAAAGAAGAGTGAGACTTAGACTGTGCCTTGATGCCACCGCGGTTTAATTATTTGACTATGAAATTTTTTCAGTAAAAAAATGTCGATCAGGCCTCCCTGATATCTGTGTCTTATTTGTGTACTATTTATTTGTTTATAAATTAGACACGTGTACTATGACAACCGATTAGCATTGTGAATACAAGGTAGCTGCTAGAACCAGAGGGGAGGAGGGGGCAAGGAGGGAGAAGAGTGTGTAGGGGATGAATGGTGATGGGAGGAGACTTGACTTGGGGTGGCGAACACACAATACCATACACAGATGATATATTGTGGAATTGTACACCTGAAAGCCATATAATTCAATTAAACAATGTCACCCCAATAATAGTACATTGAAAGGAAAGCAAGAGAGCAAGCAAGAAAGAAAGAAGCTCTAGAGTTAGCCTGGGTTTGAATCTTGGGAAGGCTGCTCTCCAGTGGTGTGGTGCTGGGCCAGCTATTTAACCTTTCTGCCCTCAGTGTTTTCGTCTATGAAATGACAGTATCCATCCATCAGGCTTTCGTGAAGCACTAAGCACTGCTTTGTGTAAAGTGTTCAGAAGAGAGCCTGGCTGCAGTAAGCGCTCAAAGGCTGTGGGCCATTACTGTTTACTGCTGCCCATCATGTCAAGTAGATTTTAAAGTACGCACATTAAAAAAGAATGGGATTTCAAATAAATATAAACTGAAACCCGAATGCTTCCTTCCCACACTCTGACACCCCCCAGGCATGCAGAGTGCCCATGCATAAGCGCTAACCCCAAGGCCAGGTGCCGGATTGTCAGAGGCGGTCTGTGGGTCTCCACCCTGACTGCACGTTGGAATTCCCTGGGACATTAAAACCCATCCTGATGGCAGAGCTCCACCCCGGGGTGACAATGTCATTGGCCGGGAGTATAACCTGGGCATGAAGACAGTTCAAAAAAACAATCTTTGGGTGATTCTAATGGGCAGCCAGGGTTGAGAATCACTGCCTTCCATGAACAGAGCCCCATAAATGGGGCTCACAACCTCTGCGGGGCGGGGGAACCAAGGAGGAATAAGGGATGTTTCCAGGAAGGCTTGAGCTGGTACAGCGGTTGCCAAAGAGACAAGCCAACTGGAGAGAACCATGAGAGCCCAGAGGCTGAAGTAAATCTTTCCAAAGAAGGTCAAGAACAGCTTCAGGAGGTAGTTCTGTTTGACAGGACTTGGAAAAGGCCTATCATTAACAATTAGAACAGCTTTAGGAGGCCATGAATCACTTTTCCCACCTCAGCATTTCCTTCAGGTCTTCCCTACTCAAGGGCCTGCAGTGGCCCCTGTCATCCACCCCAACACAACCCAACTGGTTGGCAGGCTTCGACAGCCTTCAGTTCTGGCCCCAGCACCCTGACCAACTCCCTCCCTCAGCTCCGCCCACCTGAGCTCTTCACTGTCCCTAAAGCACAAAAAAAGTGTATCACCTGAAGCCCTGTTTTGTCTGGGTCTGTCTATCTGCCCAAAGAACCTCCTCAACTGATCTACATTTGCAACCTCCCACATCCCCAAACTTTTATGCTAACAGCACAGACTTCAGTTCTTATTGTTCCATGTAATAATAACTCCTTTGTGTGCAGAGTCCTTACCACTTTCCAGAAACTATAAAAAGTGCTTTTCCAGAAATCATATCATTCTTTTTGGGGTTATGAAATAAGGATAGATGTTATTGTCCTCCTTTTGCAGATAAAGAAACTGAGGCTCGGAGAGGTTCCCGATGACCAGCCTGGAGTCAGTGGCAGAGCCAGGATTCAAAGGAACACAGATTCCCTGCCCCAACCCCTCCATTCTAGGCTCTCCGCACCCATCAGACAGCTTTCCCAGCTTTCTCTCATTTCTGCCACCTCTTCACTTCGTGTTCCTCCCATGCAATGCTGTTAGCATAAGACTGACTCCAGCGGGTGCTTTTGATTTTGCTTTTGCTGGTCGTTGCAAAGTTATTCATTTGTTAACCAGCAACAGGTATCCTGGCTCCTGTTCCATACCAGCAGATGAAAACAATGGTTTTGCTTTATTAAGAGAATATTGCTCTATACCAATGATAACGGTCGTGGCAATGTAATTTGAAATGCATCTCTATGTTTCTCTCCTGGTGTTTCCTCCCCTCTGTTTGTCCCATACAAATGGATAATCCCTGTGTTCACTGCTCAGAGAATGGTGTGAAAGAAAAGGAGGACTTTGGTGCTACTGCAGGTCTGTGCCCACTGAGGAGGGTGGGGTGCCCTTCAGTGGAACACTGGGAGAGAAGGAAATGATGGAAGTCTAGGCGCCATGTTCCAGAACTCAAAGGAGGGCATGAAACCCGGGATAGGCAATGGCCGGATAGTGAGTCCAGACAGGAGGGCCCTTAGATGGCCTTGCAGAGGTCCCTGGACCCATCATGGCTTGGGTGTGATGGCAGTGTTCTTGTCGCCCCCGCTGCCCCAGAAAAAGTTGCTGGAGCTAAAGGAGCCAGGCAGACGAGGGCAGTGTCCTCCATCCATGGACACTCGATGGAGGAGAGTAATGATCGAGAAAAGCCCCCAATGTGATAACATGTGGGGCCCTTGGGAGGTAACTGGGTTTAGATGTGGTCTTGAGGGTGAAGCCTCCTTAATGGGATTAATGCTCTTACAAGAAGAGGAAGAGACCCCAGAGCTTCCTCTCTCGACCACCTAGGGACACAACCCGAAGACAGCTGTCTGCAAGCCAGGAAGAGAGCTCTCACCAAGAACGGAATGGCTGGTGCCTTCATCTTGGACTGCCTTCCGTCCTCCAGAACTGTGAGGAATGAGTATCTGTTGTTTAAGCCATCCGGTCTGTGGTATTTGGTTATAGCAGCCCAAGCTGACTAACACAATTACGACAGCATAAGGGGAGAACCCCTTTCAGACAGAACGCACCCTTTCCCCACTGAGGCCTGACCTGGGCAGCTTCACTATCGCAACCAAATGCCAGAACGCAAACAGAGGGGCTGGGAGCCTGTAGCCACTCTCCACCACCCAAAACTACTACAAATAAACACACAAAGTAAGTAAAACCTAGCACTTGCTGTACACAGACAAGTGCCCTGGAGCAGCGCTCCGAGAATGGCGTGGGAGGAAAACAGCTTCTCTTTGTTCCAGGCTTGGGTAACAGTCTTCGACGGAGCTTGCATACCGCCAACCACACTAGCACCAGCCGGGAGCTGGAGAGAAGGCAGAATCTCAGGCCTTGCCACGGAGCTGCTGACTCAGAGTCTCTGCGGCTGCAACCCAGGAATTCGTGTTTTAACAAACTCCAGGTAACTGTTACACATGCTGAAGTTTGAGAAGCAGTGCTTTAGACCAGAGGGTTTTTCAAAATCTTTTGATGGAAATACATTGCACATCACACACCCTAATAGCGACAACACACACACAATATTTACAGATATTTGGAAAATATATTTGTAATATATTTTTGTAAGAAAAAATGCCAGTTAAGACTTCATTTGATTCCACTATCAACTAATATTGTCCTTCTCAAACCTAGTTGTACATTAAAACCACTAAAGGAAAC